TTCCTTCCTCCTTTCCTTCCTTCCTTCCTCCCTTCTTTCCTTCCTCTTTTCCTTCTTTCCTTCCTTCCTCCCTCCCTTCCTTCTTCTCTCCTTTCTTTCTTCCTTCCTTCCTAACTTCCTTCCTCCCTCCCTTCCTTCCCCCTTTCCTTCTTTCCTTCCTCCTTTCCTTCCTTCCTTCCTTCCTCCCTTCTTTCCACCCTTTTTTCCTTCTTTCCTTTTTTCCTTCCTTCCTTCCTTCCTCCTTTCCTTCCTTTCTCCCCTCCTCCCTCCCTTCCTTCCTTCCTTCCCCCTCTCCTTCTTTCCTTCCTCCTTTCGTTCCTTCCTCCCTTCCTTCCTTCCTTCTGTCCTTCTTTCCTTCCTCCCTCCCTCCTTTCCTTCCTTCCTCCCTCCCTCCCTCCCTTCCTCCTTTCCTTCCTTCTTTCCTTCCTTCTTTCCTTCCTTCCTCTTTTCCTTCCTTCCTTCCTTCCTTCCTTTCCTTCCTTCCTCCTTTCCTTCCTTCCTTCCTTCTGTTCTTCTTTCCTCCCTCCCTCCCTTCCTTCCTTCCCACTGGAGGTTTTCAAGAAGAGATTGGGCAGCCATTTGTCTGGAATGGTCTAGGGTGGCCTGCTTGAGCAGGGGGGCTGGACTAGAAGACCTCCAAGGTCCCTTCCAACTCTGTTATTCTGCTTTCCTTCCTTCCTTCCTTCCTTCCTCTCACCTTCCTTCCTTCTTTCCTTCCTTACGTCTCTCTCTCTCTCCTTTCTCTCCCCTCTTTCCTTCCCTCCCACCTCACTTCTTCCTTTCTTTCTTTTTCTTTCCCCTTCTTCCTTCTCTCACTCCTCACTCCTTTATTCTTTTTTTCTTCCTTCCTTCCTTCAGTCTCTCTCTCTCTCTCCTTTCTCCCCTCCTACCTCACTTCTTTCTTTCTCTCTCTCTTCTTTCTCGTTCCTTCTTCCTTCTCTCACTCCCTACTTCTTTATTCTTCCTTCCCTTCCTTCCTTCTCCCCTCCCTCTCTCCTTCCCTTCCTTCTTAGTCTGACCATCTCCTACCAATTGCCTTTCCTGCCATCGTTCCTTCCTTCCTTTCTTTCGTCTCTCTCTCTCTCCTTTCTTCCCTCCCTCCCTCCCACTTCACTTCTTTCTTTTCTTTCTTTCTTTCTTTCTCTCTTCTTTCCTTTTCCCCTTCTTTCCCTCACTCCTCATTCCTTTATTCTTTCTTTCTTTTTTCTTCCTTCCTTCTTTCCTTCCTTCTCCCCTCCCTCTCTCCCTCCCTTCTTACTCTGACCACCTCCTACCCATTGCCTTTCCATCCTTCCATCCTTCCTTCCTTCCTTTCGTCTCTCCCTCTCTTCTTTCTCCGGCCTCCTTCCTTCCTCCCTCCCTCCCTCCCACCTTTCTTTCTTTTCTTTTCTTTCTCTCTTTCTTCTTTCTCTTTTCCCTTCTTCCTTCCCTCACTTCTCAGGGAGGAGAGGAGAGGGGAGGGGAGAGAGATGGATGGATCAATGGAAAGAAGGGGGAGAGAGAGAGAAGAAAGAAAGAAAGAAAGAAAGAAAGAAAGAAAGAAAGAAAGAAAGAAAGAAAGAAAGAAAGAAAGAAAGAAAGAAAGAAAGAAAAGGGAGGGAAGGAAGGAAAGGGAAAAAAAGTGGAGGGATGGAGGGAAGGAGGGAATAGAAAGAAAAAGAAAGAAGTGATGGAAGGTAGGTGGGGAGAAAGAAAGGAAGGAAGGAAGGAGTGAGGAGGGAGGGAAGGAAGAAGGGGAGAGAGAAAAGAGAAAGAAAGAAAGAAAGAAAGAAAGAAAGAAAGAAAGAAAGAAAGAAGCTCCAGCTCTGCAATCACTGACCAATGGCTGCTCCCCTCCTGGCCAAGAGCGCATGGGGAGGGGGGGCATGTGTGTGCATCTGTGTGTGTGTGTGTGTGTGTGTGTGTGTGTGTGTGTGTGTGTCCCCCCAGCCAAGGGACCCACCTGGGCCACGGCAGCCTTGTGCTTCTTCATGAGTTCGTTCAGGTCCTCCTGGTCTTCCTCCAGGCGGCTCTGCACCTCGTTCTTCTCCCGCTGCAAACGGCTCACCTGCTCCTCCAGCTGGGGGGGGGGAGGAGAGGGAAGGAGGGAAGAGAGAGACGTCAGCCCCCTCCGCCCTGCCACCGAAGGCCTTGGGGAGGGAGTCCGACTCGCAGGGGTGGGCTGCCCAAAAAAGGAGCAACCGGTTCTCTACCCAACGGCTGGGTGAAAGCCATCGGTGGGCGTGGCCTAGTCCGCCTCCTGAACCACGACTGGGAAGGGGGGGGTGTTTTCGCCCTCCCCGGACTCCGGAGGCTTCCCTCAGGCCTCAGAGGGCGAAAACAACCTCCCTGGGCTCCGGAGGCTCTCCGGAAGCCGGAAACGGGCCCATTTTCGGCCTTTGGGAACTTTCCAGAGGCCCGTTTTTCGCCCTCCCCAGCCTCCGCGTGGGCCCTGCACTTACCTGGGATCCAAAATGGGCTGTGTGGGGACTCCTGGGTGGGGAGGGGTGGACGGGGCCAGACAGTCATTCCACTACCGGTTCGGCAAACCAGGTGTAAATTTAACAACCGGTTTGCTGAAACCGGTGCGAACCGGGAGCAGCCCATCCCTGAGTCCGAGGCCTCAAAGGGAGGGAGGGGACCAGACCTGGGGGGGGGAGGGGAACCCCGATATCCCGGTCCGTCTCAACCCAGAGCAGCCTCTACGCTGGTTGAACCGCAGTGAAAACCTCCCTGAGAGATTGTGCTGTTGGACGGCACAACTAACAGGCAGCCCTCGACTTTACAACTGAGCCCGACATTTCTGTCGCTAAGCGAGAGACGGGCCCGAAGGATGCCCCCGTTTTATGACCATTCTTGCCTCAGCTGAGGTCGCCAAAGCGGATGACATGACCCTGGGGGACGGGGAATGACACACTGTGACCATCACAACGACGAGTCACCCACCGAGCGTGTGAATCTGGATCATGTGATCTTGGGTCACAAGTGCGAGATGCGATCATTGGTCCTTTTTTTTCCCCCTCAGGGCTACCGTCACTCCAAACAGTCACTAAATGAACTTGCCGTAAGCCAAGGACCCCCCTGTATTTCACATATTTTTTATCCCTTGGTGTTTTTTTTTTGTTGAAATGGGATTCGAAAGCGCCCTACAAATAAATAAATCCCACCCTGGAACAGCATGAAGTCTAAGACCCCCCCACCCCCCACCCCCCACGTGTGCCAGAAGGGCTCTGCCAACCGGCCTGGTGGCCACTCGCCCAAGGCTGCCCCCCCCAAAGCGACACCGAAAGTGGTTTGGGGGCACTTTTGGAAGGGGTGGGGCCATTTGGCATCCCAGAAAATGCCCTTTTTTGGCTTCTCCGGGAAGAACTCCAGAACTGGGTCTGTAAGTCTGCCAATTAGCCGGAAGCTTTGATGTCTCCTAATTAATCCTCTTTCTCTCTCTTTTTTTTAATTAAACAAAAAGAAAATGCAAGGAACAAAGTTACGCCCTCAGTCAATGCCAGTGAGATGCCTGAACTAGATATTAGCTCAGCTGAGGCGCAGCAATTGTGCGAATCAGCTGAGCTTCACTCGCGCGCAGAGGGCTAAAATATAGACCTTTGTCAGCGCTGGAGAGCTGCCTGAACTGTTTTTTTAGCTCAGCTGAGGCGCGGCAATCATGTGAATCAACTGAGCTTCACTCGCACATGCAGTGCTGAAATACAGACCTCTGTCAACGCTGGTGAGCTGCCT